TTCCGTTTTAAGGTGTGGAGAGAAAATTCGTCGAAATCACCAGCCAATTGAAGTAGCTTCACAGGTACCAACTTCAAGCCTGCTCCTTGATGGTTACTTGAATCATACCCATAGTACCAGATTCATTCCAATTGCCAATACCAACATCATATCTGACATCATGATTGAATTTCAAAATTTCATTGCGTCTTTCAGGTTCCACAGATGCACTCCAGTATAAGGTGCAGATTCGGGTAGCTCTTTTATCGTCGTAAAGATCAAACATTCCTCGAGTTTCTGAGATAGAACCCAATTCGCCACATGCATATATATTCCTTCTGCCACCATTATGGCGAATGGTCAGGTCATCGACATCGCTCGGCGACACAACATCGCGTCGATTACCGTGCGTGTAGAACTGGCCACTGTGTTGCTGTCAAATCTAGCTGATTTATATCTGGAACTTAGACTAAATACCTGGAAATGTGCGCGTTTTTAATCGTGATATCACAGTTCAAGTCATCCTGGATTTGAATATCAATATATTGACCGAAGGCTCCAGCAGCCATCATAGCCTGATATGGTGGTTGAAACTGGGAAATGGCTTTGAGAAAATGACAAAATCGATATATGTCATATATCAACGTATTGGTGGTGAAAGCAGTTTTCTTTAGCCGGTGACCACCACTAGATACCAATTGTTTATAGAGAATGTCTTTCTGCCTGCAACTTGGAAGCTTTCCTTCATAAATCATGAACAAGAGAGTATCGTAGTTTGAAGATCAGAAACTCTTTCAGGATAAGAAGCTTTAGGTAGACATTGTGTACTTGATGAAACGTTGGACAGAATATTGAGCTACATTTCAGACGTGACGCCCTCGTGACACTTTTACGACTACTAAGTGCATAGGCTCCAAATTTGAACCAACTAGCGCAATTAAGGTTCACAGAACCTTGGTTTTTTGAGTTTGAAGGTGCATTCAGGAATTTTACAGCACTTATCGTGTGATCGAAATTGTGCGAATTTGTTGGCACCGAATAGCTGCTCGATGGCGATGTGGCATGATTATTGCTGTGGCCTCCTGAGGTGCAACCAACTCGTAGACTATCTCTGAAAGAGCCAATGAATGTATCCTGACGTGATCAAAATACTCTAAGAGAACCACCAACATAACCCCATTGCTGTAAATCCCTCATGACCAAGTCTTTCCAGCTTTGTTCACACCGTTTGCAAAGTGCTGATGGAAAAGTGTAGAACATATATGTGCTGCAATCGCCATATTTCATCTACAAAATATTAATAATAATGAAGCCACGTCAAATGTAGATTTAGTGGCCGCCCCACTGCTCGATTGATATTTAGATGTACTTCTTTGGTGCAATTGCTAGTTAGTTCATGGTTACCTTTAACAGATGCAAGGAATGAATTATCAACAGGGGTATAGCAGACAAGGATTGTATTCTATGTGTTCATCCATAAAGTCTTGTCCTGACACCCAAGTACATCACGTCATGTAAGCTATAAGCGGCTGGCTATAAGCCTCAAGTCACGGAGAAAGAAAGCTTCCTCGCCTCACTGTCATTCTGCTATGTCATTTATATTTTATATCTGCAGTACAATGAGCTGAACTAGCCACCCTGCGACCTGGTCTGTATGGCTGTACACAAAAGGGCTTGTATTCGTTGGTATGTCAGCTCGCGCGAGGTATATCTCGAAAGGTGACAAGTTAGTAATATATTGTCTTATATAATTCAACGTAAACTAACTACTCCAGCTGTTGCCTTGTAAATCGCGTCACATCCTACATTCACTATATTTGTCCAAGTATTGGATACATAATTTTCTGCTGAGGCCTTCCCGTTGTGAGTGCTAGCTGTATCAACGGCCAAAAAGGACAGTTTTTTAAGGAGGTCTCCCCCGATATGCCAAGGAAACCACGTATCTTACGGGCGACTATTTCACCGCTTTGGCACTCGCCGTCCCGTAAAATGTCAATCATTTTTGTGGTGTCTCGTTCTGTATCGCAGGGAGATCAAAAGTTAAATACAAATATAACGATTGCAACAGGTGATACTGTGGACTATCCGTCGTTCAACCACATTATGTCCCATTTATAAGCTATACCAGTCTCAATCGGAAGGATAGTCATTTTTAGAAGCTTTTTAAGAGTCGATAATCAAACCAAAATATTCAGGGGCAAGAAGGATAGTACATGCTTTTACAAGATCTTTGTTTCTGCTTCTGCCTGCTCGTAACGGTACCGTGTAAAACTAGATAGCTATAGTTGTGGCAGCGTATATATTCCATGTTGGAAGGGAAGTAAGGGTAAATGAAAGCCGCCATAACCACACCTGTACGCTAGGACTATTAATCTTCTCAAAGCTAAACATGAATATGTAATTTGGCGCACTTGATATTGATTTTACAACCCTTCTGGAACTGCTCTCGGGTCAAAGTGATGCTAGGCTAACACTGCGCCAGTGAGCTTAATATAAGCCTTACCAAGCGAACAAGCTCAAAGATGATCACTAAGGGAATAATGATCGCAAATTTACCATGGCCTCTTGGAGTGAGGGAACACCTTGTATATTTCCTCGGAGTTTCTTGACAGTTTCATCAGTGCCATCATACAAAATGCGGACTAACTGTAAAAGAATTTGGTAGGTGTCCAATGCATCTCTCTGTGCTTTTAGCAAGGTTTCCTTGCGGCGTTTGTCCTTCGAGAAATCAAATACGCACTCAGAACCCGAGGCTGTACATCCCTGGCAAGGAGTCGTACCGGTGCACTGTTAGTTGTCAAAAACCTGAAAAGAGAAGTAAGGAAAGGAACACATAATCACCTTTGTACGTTTCCTTTGGCAAGTTGTGCAAGCAGTAGTTTGTCGCCTTCGCTTCAAGACAGTACCTAAATTAGAGTCTCGTTGAGGGTCTTCCTGTATTGAGTTTTTAGGAAGTAAGAGTCTTGCTGAGTTTCCAGTATTTCTGGACATACCTAAGAATTACAGGAAAATAAAAGCTTAACAGAAGTGGGTTGGAAATTATACACTGTTCCTTCTGGCTGACCAAGTTATTATATAGTGTTGCCTCTCCTCCGCAACTTATTTTCTTCTGCTTGCTTCTTTCTGTATCCTTGCTATCATATAATCTCACTGACATCATAACTAGTGATCGTAGAGTTCAATCTATGTTTAGCATACTACATAAGAAGGAAATCCATAGCGCGAAAAAACGGGTGGCCGAATTGTTTTACAAGAGTAACTTAAAATTTTGAAATAGAAATAGCAACATATGACAAGAGTCAGCAGATGAAAATATTGTCTCAAATTTCCTCGGGCAGTGGAAGGAGCCTCATTTATAAATTAGATTAACAAATATGACAAATTCAATCAGCAAATTAAAGCTCAATAGTGTGAAATCCATACCATTAACCTTTTCCTGAGGCTAGCTGACGTCATTTTCTGAGAGGCTGATCTGCTACCCTAGGTTAGCTAGAAATTGAGCCAAGGATGAGTTTGAACTCTTTGAGTTGAGCGCAAAGCCCAGATGCGATGGCCAAGCCAGAGTACTAGTTCAATAGCTAAAGCTTTGCAACCTCGCTCAGGCCTGTTTACAATCACCTCGTACATCTCATTGTCATCACCAGGTCGTGAAAACCTTAGACTGCCTCAGCTTTTCAAAAGGCTCTGGACCATTATCCTGGTCGCTAGTTTGGGCATCTATATGTACTGGCTTAAATTCAATCTCCTTGCGCAACAAACTTAGTTGATCAATGCTCATAAAGCCCCCGTCAGATGCGCGTCATACTAGAAATATTGCGTCCGGATTCCATGGTTATCATATGATGTAGGTCTCAAGACAGAGGCAATACATGATCATACTGAACAAAATACTAGCCCTTTGTTACCCACCAGTCTGATCCTCATCGGATATTACACACTGACCCTATAAGCCAGTATTTCCTCTCTTAGTGAGAAATACTTGCTTTTTTAAAGTATGAATAAATTATACATAGAGATCATATTCTTACTCAACCTTGAGTGTAGTTAGCTAGCAGCACGCAGGTCACCTTAGCAAGACCTTTTCCAGTTTATATTACCGTACCCTTGGAGGCAGTTACCTA